GTATGTATGCGTCGGACGTACTCCTTCTTATTCTTCTGATATGATGCGATATTAAAAAAAATCCAGCATGATGCTTCTCACCTTCCTGCAATAAGAATTGTGAGAGAGAGAGAGAATTTATGGATATAAGTGTGTCAATGTGTGGATGCGCGTTCTATACTAATAACATTATTAACAAGCATATCTTTGAACGATGTGAACGTGAGCAATAATAAGAACATATCAGCATGGATGGCAAGTGAGAGAGAGAAGCCCAAAAAACACATGTAGAAAAAAGGAAATAAAAGGAAGGATGTTAGGAGGCGTCATAACGATCCAAAAAGGGACAATAATTAAACAATTCCAAAGATTGTGTCTCAAAGAATAGGAAATTTTGCTAATTATTTATCTGCTTATGCTTTGCCATGTCCTTTTCCGTCTTTTTTTTTATCACTCTCGATTCATTAACGAAACAATAACAGAGCCAATATTATTTATCGATGCAACAGGAAGAGATGCAATTTTTTTTCGTGTCCTTCTGTAGCTGAAAAAATAATAAGATTGCCTATAAAAATATGCATTTGTGGACAGACTTTTTTTATTTATTTCTTGCATTTTATACCTGAAAAAAAAAAATATGTGCATACAATAATATCGCACCCCCGGAAATGAAGTGTTTTTCTTTTGTCTGTCGACTATCGATTTGCTGCCGATAGGCCATCCAAAACAGTAATTATCCATTATCAGACCAGAAACAGTAGTGTTAAATATTCTTTATTCATTCATACTCTCGCTCATTGCTGTTGCTTGTCGCTGTTAATAGGTAGTACAATTTTTTTTATATGTATGTCGTTTGAATTGAAGCTTAAATGCAGAGTTGGTGGTGCTGAAGATTATTGACTATTAAGAGTCCGCAAGGGAAAAGACGTCCTACTTACTTCGCTGATCAATTGTGATCCATAACCTCCCTCAGATGTCGCCGGAAGCTGACTCTATCGCTAGCTACTGCTGAAAAGACGACCAGGACCTACAAAAGCTACTTGGTAGCAAAACAGTGACGAAAGAATGTCAGTTTAATGGACAGAGAAATAGGTGACAGGGATAGCAACAGAGTCAGATGGAAGCCTTTTGTTGTATCCTAAGCTCCACTTAGGAATATGGTTCCAGTAAGTAATTAAGCATTTTGGAACAAAATTAAGAATCAATAGGATTTGAACCTCGTTCTCGTTTAGCAAGTCAAAGGCTTCTCCTCCCAAACTTCTACCAACCAATCAACACCCAACTCTGCCTAAAACAATAAACATTAAAATTTGTACGTTAATTCGCGTTGAAATCATTTTAGAAATTTTTTTTTGTACTTCCATTCATTCATTAAAATAATTTTTTTTTCATCTCTATTGTTTTTTTGGCGAATTGAGCTCACAATTGTGTTATTTTTTCATTTGTTGTAAATATAAAGATTTTTTTCTTACATCTTTTTTCTGGAACAGAGCATAAGTACTATTATGAGCAGAGATGCCTTTTAATGTGTTGATTGTTGTTGTGATGATGATTATTTTAACGATGATGATGATACGAATAATGATGGCTTGTAGATGAGAGCTGGTTAGATGTTGAAGATGAGCTTGGGGGGGGGGGGGGTGCAAAAATTATTTTTTTTGTTAATTTATTAACTGTTTTTAATTTTATTCATTTTCATTTTTCATAAATTTTCTTATGATTTATTGAGATATAACAATATTTTTTTTCTTGTGTCATTTCGTCACTTCTGCATTAATAAAATATAAAAAGTAAGTAGAATTAAATTGACTAGAAAGATGGCGATGATAATGTAAATTTTTATACATGAAACTTAATTTTTTTTACATAATTTACATGAAGAAAAGTTTTTTGTTGTTGGCAGTGCCAACATTAATCTAAATTATGAATTCTTTGAAAATGAAATTTTCTCACAACTCACTGGAACAACATTTTTCATTATTATTTATATGCCTCAACCATTTTACTTCTCTTAAGTGCATTCTCTCGACCAGAAAAATTAGTCTTGTTAATCTGTTCTCGTTCGTTTGTTCAATTTATGACTTACTTTAGTTTTATGCATTTTCATTCAGTTTCTGGAATTTGATTCTCATGCAATTATTTTATATCCGGTGATTCAAAAACTAACTTAAGATTCGCAAGAACTTCAAGTTCTTATGAAAGTCAATCAAAACCTTAGAACCTTAAATAACTCATAATTAATATAAGATGTACAATCAGTTCCCCCTTTTTCTTGAAGCCATAACAATTCTGTATCTTTTATCAATTTTTATTATGGCTTCAAATTGAATATTGCGTAGTTTATTGTGTTGTTAATGAATTTCTAAGAAATCTTTTTCCTATTTTGATTTGTGGGCGTCGATAAGAGTCGTTGGGGGTTCGCTTTGTGAAAAACTATTAAACGACAAATCTCTAAATATATTGATTTGTGAATCCCCGAGTGTAAAGTCGTGATCATTGAGAAAATCTTGTCATATCAACAAAACTTTATGGAATAGCTTGAAAGATTGGTCTCTGATTGGAATCAAACCCACATTCTCACAAAAGAGGGTTATAGATATTTGGTCTTTTGTCTAACCACTTGGCCAAAAAGACTGATAGATACCTAAAATCTCAATCTGAACCCAAAAACCTTAAGAACGGATTAGAATTTCATAGCTTTAGATCAGTTGTGACCAACCTTTTTTACGTCACGGTTCATCTTGATGGTAAGCCATAATCAAAACCGCACATGGCATACGGTTTGTGAAATTTCCCGAAACTAGTGTGCCGCAGCACATTGGTTTGGCATCACTGCATTAAAGAAATAACCTCAGATTAGGTGTTGGACAATTTATATTGATCATAAAAATATTTCTTTCATCTCTGTACATTAAATGTGATCATCAATATTTCAATAAATTGCAATTCATTCTATCCCTAACTCATATAAAGTAATAAAGCTATTTCTCGAAGAGCTAAGTTCAACTCAATACTTTATAACAATCTGACTAAAGTATCCTTGTCACTATATTACAATTATTTTATTATATTATATTAAACTTCCATATTAAGCAAGAACTCATTTCTCATGTCTGTCATTGTGGTCATTTACTTACATGCTTAATCATTTTTATTTTTATTTTTATTTTATTTTATTTCTTCTTTTCTTACCACATTGGGTTGTTGACTTGAACAAGGGGTAATTAGGTGATTGCTCTCGGTAATTATGGGTATTGAAATTTTTTGTTTTTGAGGGGTTGAAAGTCTGAAGAGTGACTCGGCTTATGAAGTTATTAGAGTTCATTCATAAAATAATTGCAAACTTTCATTTAAATAATTTTAATAGGGACTGGTTATAAATGACGTCTTACATTTTTGGAGGAGAGGAGGATGGAGTTTTGTGATGGTTCAAAATTATTTCTTTGGTTGAGCGCAATTAGGTGGCCCATTGCCGCGTTCAGAGATCGTGTAAGGAGAGCTCTTTCCTTCTAGACCTTCTACTAGTTCGGGATATTGGCAACTCTAGCGTTTTTATCAACACATCCAATCCAGTTATTCTTTGGCTTTAAAAAAGGGAAGTGGGGGGGGGGGGTCTAAAAAATCTCGTCCTTTAATGTAAGTCATTTCGAAATAGCCCCTGATAAGGGCAACCTTAATTATGCTCGACAGTTATAAGTTTGGAAAAGAGCTACACTTTATCCGAGATATATTGTTCCTACCAAGTTACGTAACTAGTGATGAAGCCCAACGTTACCACAATCCCGACCATTCTCTTTTATAGTTTATAGCATCCTTTATGCTTGAAAAGTCACTAAAATTTTAAAATAAAATTGACCTTAATCAGAAATTTTATCAAAAATTTTGAAAATCTAGTCACAAAACATTTAAGCACACTTTGTTCAATTCTGTACTTACTAAGTGACCATGCTGACAACAACCATCATCCCATATAAAAGGCACAAAAAAGAATGCAAGTTGATGGTAACTGTTGCGAAGATAAAGAGGGTCAAAAATGCCATATTCAGAACTAATTCTCAGAATTTCACTTCAAGGTTTGAACTCAGCAGTCATTTGACACTTTAAGGAACAAACAAATCTTTGAAAACAGCATCAAAGAATTTCTTCTTTAGCACTTCATAGCAATAAAAGATAATTTAATAGCAAAACATCCACTCAGGATATGTATCTGGTTCAAGGTATGAATGTCTGGCGCATTTAAGGGTTAAACATTTTGTAGACTTAACAAATAAAAAATCACAGACATCCAATGTTCCCAATATTCAAGTCAACAATCCAATATTAAATTAAGAAATATAAAAATGCTTAATACTTTTCAGACAGAGCTGTCATTTAATTAAACTTGCTTTACTGCTCACTACTTTATATAGAAATTGTTGTAAAATGTAAATGAATACCTAATTGATCATATAAACAAAGGGAACAGATGAAAAAAAGACTCTTTGAATCACGTCGTGAATGATAAACAGTAAGCAATTTGAATGATTTGTCACGTAAACATTGTGTTCTTCATGACCTAATTATTCTGAATTTTTAATTGATTTTATTTTTTGTTCTAAAATGAATTTTTTAAAATTTTTTGAATTTTTTTAAATTTCTTAAATTTAAAAATTCATGATTTTTTTTTTCAAAAATAATTGTTTTGAATTAAAAAAGTTTGGTAAAAATCCAGTCTCATAAAATTCACTTCCATCTCCAAAAATTAAATTACTTCCCATTTTCAAGTCTTTCTCAATTTTCATTAAACTAAGTTCATTATTGTTGTGTGATCTTGAAAAGTGTCTACAATTTTTTATGATGAAAGACGTTAATGTTCTTGCTTGACGATGATGATGATATTCTTGGATTTATTTATAAAGGAAAACATCAAAAACGAACAGAACAGAGCATTTTTTGCGGCTTAGGAAGCAGTTAAAAATAAAATCGAGTAAGGAATGTTTTGGGGTATTGCTCTTGAGGAGCATTTGGTGGTGATGCAGTATTCTGGTGGTTAAAAATATCTTCAACATAGAATATTGTGAAAAAAGATAGAATGAGCTGATAACCCTCCAAAAACTCAGGTTTAATTTGACTTTTAGGAAAAAATCAAAATGATTCAAAAATTTAAATTAAAATCTTAAAAAATATTTTTAAAATTAACAATTCTCAAAACCAGTGGTGTCAAACCTTTTCTATGTCATGGAAAACTTTGATAGTAACACATGACTAAAACTGCATACGGCTCGTGGAATATCGCAATTTTTTTCACGGCACACTAGTGTGCCTAGGCACACAGGTTGTTCAACACTCTTCTCCCTTGGTGGTGACAACATTTTCTGTGCCATTGCACTTTGGGAATAAGCCAGATTTTTCGAATTTTTTTCACTTCACCCTAAAGTGCCGCGGCACATGGGTTGGACATCACTGCTTTAACTTATCAAAACTCCACAAAACTCAACATCTAATATCCAGACATAGTGCTTCCACATCCACACCATGCAACTACGCAACATACTAAAAATAGATCCGAACGTTACAGAACTTAGAATCATCATCAGCAGTATTTTTACCAACAACAAAAGAACTGGAAATTGTAAACAATAAAAAACTCAGACACACTTCCGGATGTATAGATTGTGTACTACATGCCGGGTCCCGGAACATATTATGTGCCGTGCACACATAGATTTTCTATAAAAAGAATCATAACAACAAAAAATGAGAGAGAAACTTTTTTTTATTTCATAGTAAATGCGTCACCATAACATCATCAGCATATTTATTCATTAAAACCAATTTTCAATTTCACATTATGCTTATATTCATAACTGTACATAAATAAAGCAGTAATTTTCCGGTATCAAAACACTTTTCATACTCAGCACAACAATAATGATTTAATTTTTTAAAAAAAATTTGAATAAATAAAATTCAATTTAATATATTTAATTTTTTGTAAAACTATATTTTTTTTGGAAGTGATGGAAAGTAACAAAAATTAATATTAATTGAATTACATCATCTTTGGATTAATTTTTTTATTGTTCTTGGAGATAATAAGCTGAACATGTTAAGTGATGAAAATTATGGAACCAAAATATTTTTTTGGAGTAACTAACCATCGACATAGTAAGTTTAATTGTGCTAGAAGATGTGAAGAGGCTTGTGACATTTCTGAGAAATTTGGAGCATAATTATAGACATTTGTTTTGACGGCGTCTCTAATTTTAGCTACTATTGTTTGATGAGTTGAATGACGATGGATGGAATTTTCTCAAGTTCCAATTTTTTTTGGTAGATGTTGAAGATTAAGTATTGATGGATCTCGACAAATCTAGCCAACTATAATCTTAATAGCTTATAAGATTTCTCTTTGAGTTTCCATTTACTGTGGAGGGAATTAAAGAAGGGGGCTCAGCTGTGTTTATACTTAGCAGCATATGAATATTTCATGACCCAACACTATTGCTTTATTCTTAAGCACAAGCATTTTTAAGTTATAGTGTTCACTAGATATACACTGCATGTACTTGATGTAATATCTTAGACACCAGAATAATAGCCTGGACAGTCTTCTATTCAAGATACTTGTAAAATATCCTAGACACTATTCTATTAACCAAGACACTTGTAAATAGCTTAGACACTAGTTTACTCCCCAAGACACTTGCATAATAGCCACACACTAGTCTACTATCCAAGACACTAGTCTATTATCCAAGACACTAGTTTAATAGCCTAGACATTAGTTTATTAGCCCAGACACTAGTCTTCTACTCAAGATACTTATAGAAGCTTAGACATTAGTTTTAAACCCAAGACACTTGATTAGTAGCCTTGACACTATTCAACTAGTCAACTATCCAAAGGACTAGTGAAATATCCTAGACATTAATATACTACCCAAGACACTTGTATAATAGCCCAGACACTAGTTTACTATCAAAGACAATAGTTTACTACACAATACATTAGAATAATAGCTTTGACACTAAGGTTCTAGAAGACCGTATAATTTTTGTAGAAAGTAAACTTTGTTCTTGAGATACCGAAAAACCATTAAAAAAAATCTAAAATTGATTGTCACTAGCCTAACCCCCAAAAATCCGAAAGCCAATAATTTAATTCCAATAATTTTCATCACAAACTCGAATTCAATTTGTCCATAAAATTTGATTATTGTTCTACACAAAATTTTTCTTGTATCATTTTTTTCATTATTATTATTTATTCCTTCCGTTATAGAAAGAAGTATTAGAAGTAGTAAAAAGAGATATTCATACTATCATTACAGTTCTATACAAGTCTAAGCTTATAATTATATTTAGCGAGATCAGAAAAAAAACAAAGCAATTCCTTCTTCATACTACATAGTTTTATAATTTTTAAAGAAGTTTTGATTCATTAAATATGCTCATTGCTGTTGTTGTCGTGGATGTTGATGGACCGAATGTTTTATCATTGATATTATTATTGTTAATGTTGCTAATGTTTGCGGATAATGTTGATTGTGTGATGGTTGTTGCTGTCAATGTTGCGGCTGTGCTAAAGCTCTGTAAAAACATTGGAATGAAACATTGAAAGCTTTATCTTCAACCCCGAAAGCTCCACAAATAAGCTTTAATTCAAGAGCTTTACCTTTTTGTCTTTATAGCTCCTCGTGCGTACTCTAGTCGTATTTCTCCTTACTTGATGATTAGAGGATGCTTTCTGAGAAAGTCTCATCGAAGAAAACGTACTCCCTCGGCGTCCGAGTTTGAATTTCGGAGATGGCAAGTCGGTGGCTAGTTAAGTACCATAAAAAAAGACGAAGAAAATAATATATTTTGGTGAAAATGACAAAAGTTATTTTTCTTGGAGGGTTTATTATTGAATAAATTTTGCGATGTTTATGAATAGGGTGTCCATTAATCTTGCCTTTGCATTTATTACTTGAATATATGTCACAATGTCGTTCTCGGTAAATTAGTTAACACAGAATTGAGTTACTTATTGAAGCTTCAAGGTTAAATGAGATATGGGGAATCTGATAAATAGATTTATTCGTCAAATTTCATGTCTTGAATGACAATTGATCATTTTTTTCATCTATTTAGAGCAACATTGTAGGTGGATGAATCTAAGCTAGTCGATGAATTTTATCTGGGATCATTTAGGATGTTATGTTGCTTTATTATTTGGATAAGTCAAAAGCGCATCCAGAAATTTTTTGAAAGGTGGTATTTTTTCTTTTTTTTGGGGGGGGGGGGGGGAGGGGGGGGAGGGGTGCTAAATCATTAGAAAGGCTCAGCTTTTTTGAGCTAGAGACACTGCAATTCTAATTAGAACAGAATCCATTCTACCTCACCCTAGACCTGCGAGGGGATGTTTTCTGAATGGGAGAGTGGGGGGGGGGGGGGGTGTTTAGAACAGTAAAACGCTAAACCTTAGTGTTTATTCAGTTTCTAAACTGTGCATTCAGTCCACACCTAAAGAGGGTTCATAATGTCACATAACATCCAAACCAACCCCCTTTTGAAAATCAATTAAAAAAAATTCCTTGAAAAATTCTTGAGACACGTACAGAAACTCTTGAGATGCTTCCATTGACATAAAATCTGTTAAATAAATGATTTGTTTTGCGATTTATTATTTATTTCAAGATTGATTTGTTCATCCTACACACAAACTTTTTTTAAAGGTTTCGAAGATATTTTTAATTTTATAGTAAATTATAATAAAAGTTCCACTGAATTAAGCGTAATTTTAAGTCTTTTGAATTATGATAAATTGCCTGTCTAGACAGCTGCTTATATTTTCCATAGAACTCAATTATAATAAAATATCCGTTCTTGAATTTGATAGGAAAGTGTAGTCAATTTGAATATCAAATGTATTTAAGATTATTAAGTCTTTTATGCGCAAAAATATATCCATTAGGGCCAACTTCATTTCCGAATTCCTCAATCCAGAATCTACCGTAAATTCCAACATACATGTGACATACCTTTCTTAAATTTCAATGCAAAAAAAAAAATCTAGAAATTTTTAACATCATTCATTTTTATTTGACCGACCTTAACATTCCATCAAGATCGTCCTTCACATTATTCTATAAATGGACACCCCATACATAAATCACTTGACATGAAGCAATATTTTATTGGAATGATACTACATACGTGGTACATAGAGAGTGATTTTATAAAATAATAATAACTACAATGAATTTAGTCATGAAATGGAAATAAAGAAGGAAGCAATGAAGCTAAAGGGTTGTTCATAAATGATCTCTTTCAAGAAAATTGGAGGTTGGAACTTCTTCTACCTCTGTCTTATTGTATGAAACTTTCGCATAGCGACAAGCTCACTTCCTCTTAAAGAGATTTACATCATTTATGAACGACCCCCGAGATAAATCAAGTAGATTTGAGGTCTGCAATATTTTTTTTTATCTACAAGCTTATTCTTGCATCTAATTGGCATCAGTGGACCTGGCAACGTGATGTATTCGTTGCTCGCTTCTAAACTTTTCACAAGGGTAAAATTGAATTAATTTATTGACGAACATAAAAAGGAAAAGCGTCAATTTTGGAGGGCCACAAAAATGTCATCACGACTTTTTTTTTAAAATAAAGGAAGGGAAAAGAAGAAGATAAAGTCAACAGTTACATACGCTAGACAATTTGCTAATGTATATTTGCGCGCAACCCTCCATCCACCTTATTTCATTATTGGTTTTTCATTTTATTTATTTATTTATGTTGTATGTTATGTTGTTGTTGATTATATATGTTTTTATTTTGGTGAAAATGAAGATGTGTTGTTGAATTTTTATGCAAAAACCATTTCATGTATTTAAATGTATGGTGATAAGATGAGAGAAGATGAATAAAATGTGAGAAAAAAGAGAAAGAAATGTGAATGAGAAAGCAAATAAAGGAGAAAGAAAAACAGCATGTTACAAAAATAATGTTAAAGTTTCTCGCTTGTATCCGAGTGGATTTGATGCATTTGGATGAGATTAATAAGTTTGTAGCTTTGTGGCTCACCTTGACGTCATAAAATGCGGGGATCAACACACAATCTTATTAAAACAATCTTAAAAAGATTCTTAAAATGATCCTAACCTCAAATATCATCAGTCTAACCTACAAACTATCTATCTAGCAACGAACCCTTCTAGTCAGTCACCCACCCATCCCAAATTGACTCCCCATATCTCCATAAACCACATCAGAAAAATAATTTACATGAAAATTTACATATGACAATCCAGAAACGGATATTCAGTTAAAGATTGTGCGACCCAAGAAGAATGTCACACAACAGTTTGTTGGATATTGAATATCTTACATGAACACATTCTTTTATGACTTTAAGGTCTCGTTAAAGCAACATTTGTTGCTGCTGTTACAATAAAATATCAACAATTTTAGTGCAAAACTTTCATGCTTTTGATTTTCTTTTCTTGACTTGTTCTAGTTTACGATAATCGTGTGGCATGTCTTGTCTGTTTTTTCATCAGCTTATGTCAGAAATTTGATTGATTTTTCAATCAAAATTAAAGCTTTAATAGGTTTTAGCGATTGCAAACTTGCGTGATGATTTCTGTTGCGTGAATTTTCGTAATAAATTCTCATAACTGATGCGTTGTTTATTGTTTATTGAAAGAGCATGGTTAGAGGCTTAGGTATAAATGAAAGAATTGACTTTTAATCGATAAAAGTAGATTTTCATGATAAAATAACAGAAATTTTTTTTGAAATAAAAAACACGTGGTTTTTGAGATTTTTGAAATTTTGTAATAATTTGGGCTGTTTTGAGAGAAATGTTGATGAAAGTTTGTTTGCTCCCTTAAATTCTTTGAATTCCGACTAAAATTTTGTTTCTTCAAGCTCTTGTTTGTGAAATAATTGTAGCTTAAAATGCGATGTGAGAAAATTTTTGTCTTTTTTTCAAAAAAAAGTTCGTTTTTATTTTATTTGAGCTACTGATAAATGATTTTAGCCCAACTTTAATACAGCAATTAAAGTTCCAAAAGAATCCTCATTACTTTTAATTAAACAAGACCAAAAAAACAAATAAATATTTAATTTTAATGATAACATTCTCTTATAATACTCTTAATTATTCCTGCATATCCTATTTTATTCATGTTCCTAAGTATTCTTAAATTTCCAACTTTTCATGCAGAAAAAAAGAGATAGAGAGACAAATATTAACATTAGAATACTAATAAAGTTAAGATTTAAAAAAAAGGGGTATCTCATCACGTATGATTTAGAAAAGTTTTTACATCTCGCATAATGAAATAACTAAACATACACGCATTGAAGAAATGATAAAGTTATCATTCCTTTCCTCTCCACAGAAATAATATTTGATTAAATATTTTCCTACCGCAATTCAATGTTGCCTATTAACATTCCAAAAAAAAAGAGAAAGTTTAAAAAGTTTTTAGAAGTCTTATTGATTCAAATAATGGAAGTAGAGATGGGCTAAAGGTGAAATAAAGTTTTGCCATGTTTGAATTTAACTTTATTGAATTTTTAGAATGAAAGTTGCAATTTGCAAAAAAGCTTTGGGGTCATCTACTTATGACGTCCGAAATTAACGGTTATTTCTCTTACTGACTCTCCCTGGACGTCATAAATGAACGGTCCCTTTCAAAAAGTTTTAAAAAATGAGCTTTTGTATGCTAAAATTATTTTATTAATGTAAAAGAAATAAAAAAAATTTAATAATGTTTCAATTTAAATTGAATTTTAAATTGGGACTTGAACCCATGTCTTATGATATAGGGTTGCATGCTCTTATCACTGAGCTTTCACATCTTATCAACAATATGACTAAACTCCATAGATTAATTACCTCAAATCTTCCCTAAACATACCAAATATCCCCCCAAAAACCACAAAAAATAAATACATATTCTATTTATAGCCACAAAGCGACAGGTTGAAGACAACAAACTTTTTTTCTCATTTTTCTAATCCCCCACAAAAAATACAATTTTTGACCCCATTGATATTTATGAATGAATGACGATAGTATGTGTTAAGTAGTAACAAGCAAGCAAATATAAATTGAAGACATCTGCTGCCGTTCATAACGAAAAGAAGAATCTTATGCAGCATAAAAATATGATTAGCAAAACATTTATAGATATGATGTGATAGAAAAAAATTAATCAAATAGTCATAAAACTTACGAGTCGACGGCGTGTTTCTCTTTGTTGCTTGCATGATGCCAAAGACGACAGCTGCCAATGAGCTGTGATTAGATGTTTGCCTCTGTAATGAACTTGGGGTTGGAGTAACAGCCATTGGAATTCCAGCAGGACATATTGTTGGTGATGTGAGACGACTTACAGACTCATTCTTACCCAATACCCAGTATGTGAACATGATACCTTTTCCCTTAACATTAATCTCACCACGTGGTACGCATGTATATCCTTTATCGCTTAGCAATGTTGCAGTTTGCTCAGGTACTTGTATCTTCCAATTTTCACCAGTCGAATCCATCCGCGATGCGACATTTACTGTTATTATTTATGGACACATTATAGGAATTGGAAAATGGACAACGATTTTTATGAAGCATAAATTTTAATTGTAAAAACGGAAATGAATTTTTATTGCCATACCTGAATTACCCCAGATATCAAAAATTGGTTTTCTCGCTCCAATTACTCCACTAACAACAGGACCGGATGAAATTCCAACACGCAATTGGAATGTATTGAATGCGTCCTTGTTGACTTCTTGTAATTTCTGTCTCATCGCTATTGCAAATTCCACCAAGTCACATACACTGTCCTCATCTGTTCCACCAATTTCAATACGATGCTTTGGATTTAATCCTGATGCAGCCATGTATGTTCTGAAAAATGTAAAAATAACATTATTAAAGCTACAGCTATGCTAGATGTCAATGAATATTGAACAGTTGAGAGTTGAACTTTAGAGCTCATACCGAGAAAATGTTAAGCTTTATGGGATATCTTAGGGATAAGGAATATAATATTTATTTTTATCTGGGGATATTTCTTAGTGGGTGCTATGAATATTCTTGGTATCATCTTAAGGACTGAATTTGGCTTAGCAGTTTTGTGAAGGATTGTGTGATATTCAGACACAAGTTACAAATGTCAATGGGTAGACTAAATAGAAGCGCATTTTTTGGATTCTACTCTTATAGTTCAATCAAGTCTGAATGAGTAGGAAAGCATAAGAATTGCATGATTTAACTACGTCACTCCAGTATGAATCCCATAAAGACACATCTCCCAAGTCTTAATATAAAATAATAACCCCGAAAAGAAAAATCCAATAAAAAAGCAATGATCCAAAAACTTACTGCCCAATCGTCTTAATCTTCTCGACAGTCACAAACTTCGCCTCATCCAGCAATGCATCAAAGTCACAAATAATCTCATTTAAAATTCTAATACAAGCCTTGCCATTCTCTAAATCCTCTGAATAGAAATCCTTAAAATTAGGAATACTGGCAAACATCACACCGCACATGTCATGGCTTTTTGAATAAATATCATCGGACATCTCATGTGATAAATAATATGAGGCAACATGCTCGGGTAAAATATTCTTTATAAGTAAATCATTGAGATGACGATTTGATTTCATATTGGATAATTCACGTTCTGCTTGCTCTTTCCATATAAAATCTAATCTTGCTGTCACTTCAACCAGACGTGCATGATAGATGACCATTGTGAGAAAGACTAACAATAAAATGACCATTTGTGCTGATAGTGACATGCCGATCTTAACCATTTCATATTCATATGTTGAGAATATTTCTGGGAATATGATTAAAATAAGAATGCAGAATGTTGCAACGAGACCTAATGCCATAAATGTCTTAACAAGATAATAAAGTTTTAGTGCTGTTGCGAGTGCAATTAGACATAAAACCCATGAGAAAACGACATATTCTGGCTCGTTGCATGGAAGTGGTGCTGCATCGGCAATATGCTCAATTCGAACTTGTCCATCAGATGCAAGTTTGATCAGCACATCATTTTCAATTGATTGATTTCTCTCGTCTTGTAGAAGGTCATCCATTAATGCTGTTGTGTTGTATGGCAATGAATATCCTTGAGTCTCTGAAAATTTATTACTATTTATCGTCGTGGACATGAATGTTGTTGGCATATCTGTGGTTTGTAGTTCTAATGCTGAATTTGGTTGAGTCCTAGTGTATCCTGATTGTCCATCAAATTGACATGAGATTAATCCAACAGAGCTTGCAGCGGACATTAAAATGACAGCACCACATACAAAAATTGTACGTCTATTGCGATCATGAACGAGTGTTGCGGAACTTTTGCGCAAAAATTTTGGCAATCCAGGATATTCTTCAGCCATAACAAGGACACAACCAGCAGAAATTATGCAAGTAGTAACGACGAGGGTTATTGTAAGATATGAACAGCGTGGAATTATCACAAATTGGCACATCACAATGAAAATCCATACGATAAACATGCACAGCATATTGGACCGAAACATGTCTTCACGAAGTTGACAAAAGCAGACCTCCTGTAGCGGTTCCTTAAATCTCAATGTCCATGAATTTAAATATTCGTCTCGCATCTGCTTATTTGAATTAATTTGAATACTTTGATCTATGAGTTCGTCAACCTCCTCTGTTGCTGACAGTGAGTTGCATGACATGTCCATTTCATTACATCCGCCATTTCCATTATTATTAGCTCCCTTCCTATTGTCATTAGAGTCTGGTGCCGTTATGGTTGCTTCCTTTAAATTTTTAAATGGAATTTCCGGCGTCCAATCTGTCGTTGGCTCGTCATCATGTATTGTTGCTTTCGATAGACGCTTCAATAAGTGACTTCCATTATTATTATGATGATGGTTATTATTATTATTATGGCTGTGATTATTATTAACACAATTATTTTGTACATATTTTGGATCAATAAACTTTTGTGGCTGTTCATCATTCAATATTGGACGATTCTTTCTTGTACGTAGCGGTTCAGTCCTTGTGATTATATAAGTCTTTATGTTCATCATTTTTAAATGATTATCGCGTGATTCTCCATCACCTGGCTCGACATCGTAAGCACCATTTAAGCATTTAAGTGTTGCCTCACTTATATGAACACGGCCTGGAATGCCACCACTTTCCATGTGATTTGCTATTATCACATCATTCGACCAGACATCAAAATGCCACTTTTTATCACCCAAAACACCACACATAACACTTCCACTATGAATTCCAATTCGCATGTCTAAGTCTTGTACATTTGTGCTATTACGGACGTCTTTTATTGCCTTTATCATGTGAAGACCTGCTTCAACACTGCACACGGCATGATCTGGTCGAGATTTCCAGCTTTGCTGATCAAACATTGAAATGCAATAATAACAATCACCTAAGAGCTTGATGCGGAGACAATGGTTGTCCTGAGGAGAAAGATAAGAAGAAAATTGTGAATGTGATTGAGGTATTATTAAGAATGTATTTGGGGATATATATTATTGTGAAGATGGATTATGATTTGTAAAATTAAAATTTCACTTTCGAAATTCTAAATTTTTACTTTCGAAATTCGAAATTTGAAATTTTTACTTTCGAAATTAGAAAATTTCACTTTCGAAATTAAAAATTTCACATTCGAAATTCAAAAATTTCACTTTCGAAATTCGAAAATTTCACTTTCGAAATTCGAAAATTTCACTTTTGGAATTAGAAAATTTTACCTCTGAAATCCAAAATATTAACAAAATTTCACGTTCGAACTTCAAACATTTTAATTAAAAATGCTATTTCACTTAATCTATTAAATCACAAAACAATAGAAATTGAAACATTTTCCTAAAAGTTTGTCAAATAATCTTCAAATCGTGACAATATTCGAATTTGATGGAGTAAATGAAGCATGAAATTATGCCAATTTTCAATTTTCCATCTCACAACAGACAGGAACGATGTAAGAATCAATATAGAAAAATGAAATTTTCCTCACCTCAGCAATTTTATCAAATCTCGCAAATAAATCATTCAAAATTTTCACGAGCTGTTGAGCTGACGTTGTGCTGGCAAGTTGCGTGAACCCTTTAATGTCAGCAAAGAGGATACTCACATTATCCATATGGTAAATGTAGAGTTTCTTGAACTGCGTATCACTTTCATATTGTGAATGATGTGGATTCTTAAACATTTCTTTACGAATGTCAGCATTAACAAATGATGGTAGAACTGTAAATTAAGAATGAAGGAGAAATGTAAGGAATTACAAATAATTTATTGTATAATGCACGACGTATGACATAAAAAGCTTTTAAAATATTTAACGGAAAGCTTTTTTTCTATCCTTTGTTGTGCCTTAAAGTGCTTCCTGTGCTAAACCTACTTTTATTCCATATTCTTTGTATATTTTTTGAGGTAAGTGCAAACTTTTATAGCTTTATGTACACACATATTTTCGATTTCATTTCCGTTTCTATTTTCAATTGGGATTTTCTTATATCAAGACAGGAAATGGATTCTTTTGTGGATTTTTGGAATTAGGGAATGAGATGTCTAGATACCATCAATTTTTTGGGTATTCCTTTGTCATGAGCTTCAGGTTGCATTTTTAATTTAATTTTTAAATGATAAATCTCCATTTATAGCTCCTATTTCATGAGCTGTTCCTCAAATAGAACTGTACACTCATCCATTTGTTTAACAACAGATCTTTGATAATACCACCTTAACTTTTTAAATTTTTAATGCAAATAAAATATAAATCCTTAGAGGGGTCCTTCATAAATGATGTCAAGACATTTCCTGGGATAGAAACAGGGTCATTAGGGTTCAACACTTAGAATATACTCTTGGGTATGTTACGGTACCATAAGTACACTCACTTGTTTGTTAGGGTATGCTACTGCTAAGGGAGGGGTGCGGGGGGGGGGGGGGGAGGTCAAAAATCGTAGAAAGAGGAGACAACCGAGTTCTTGATCATATCAAATAGCATCAAAATTCTTTTAAAGACACCAAATCCCATTTAAATAGCATCATGTTTGATTTGACTAAAATGACATAAATCCATGCTACACCTCAAGTCTAAAATTCAAAATTCATCAAATACGTCATTTATAAATAACCTCAAACCACTTTAAATCTTTTCAACCCTACTATTCACTTCCACAACATTTAAGTTTTCATTCTCAAATAACATCATGTTCCAATTCCTTATTTAAACAGCCTTACTCGAGCGACGGAAGTGAAAAGCGGCCTCATAGGAAATGTCAGACGAGAATCGCAACAAAAAGAGCAATTTGCAAATAACTTACTTGAATCGAGCAGTCGCTGTGTTTTTTGGTATTCCTTTTCTGATTCCTTTTTATGCTCCATCGCCTTGTGTGTTTCAATAAATGCCAATCGTTGGCCCCGATCTGTCAAATACTTTGTGTACATTCCAGCAAAATTGATAGCAACGTACAACAATGAATTTGCAGCCATTTGCTTTACAACGCATGTTGAGTCTATATTTGGATTATCTTCTTTTGTAGCTTGAAGTTTGGCGATGGTCGTGATGATGATATGAGTTATTGCTGTTAATGTTCCTCCAATCATGCACCATTTAAGCGGCAAAGGAAGCATTGCGTATGGCACGAAGAGAATGAACAAAACATACCAAACCAAATATTCACGTTCTGCAAAGCCAATGCCTTCGCCAACGAATCCTGTGGAGATTGCCAATAGAATTTATAATTATTGTGGTGATAAAATTACCAAAGGATGGACACAAATTCTAAAATAAATTTCCACCCCTTGTCAAAACTTAAAATAGTACTTACCTTGCAGATTCAACAACAGCCATGTACAGACAGCAGCCCAATGTAAATAATTGTTCGCAAAACATCTCCATAAGCCCAATAAACAAATACCCAAATTGGCAAGAATACAACAAACTGACCAAACAGTTGCATTTATTGGAATGCTTTGCTGTATAATAAAATAATTAATTTGTATCATCAATTTTCAATTCACACAAGATATTGAGGTATATAGGTTAAGGTTGAAAAGCGCATGTGAGTCAATTTATGACTTTGGAATGATTGCTTTAACATGCAAAGAGCTTGTTCATTAAGCTAATGAATTTTAAACTGAGCGTTGTGCAGCTTGTCTATTACAGAAGGTAATTTTGTGATTTCTGACTGTTTTAACATTGAGGAAGTAGATTTATTTATGATTATGGTTGCAACTAGTTAGCAACTTTGTACAGGATGATGTCCTATTTCGAACAACACATAGAATTGACTTAGAAGCCATATAAAGTTGGAAGATTACATGAATGCCTTCGGCTACTTCTTATCGCTGGAGTATTGATGCTTATGACTCTCAAAAGTTTGAAAGGTCTCAATTTAAAGCTAGTCCCCAAAAGACACAACTAGGTCCAGAATTCTATTTCAATGTTATATCTGATTAAAAACTCTAAGCTAGGTCTAGATGGTTACCAAGCGCAAATGACAATGAGCTTGAAACCTGTGATAGCTAAGTTTCCTTTATACTACAGTAGTGTTATCTAAACTGTGTGCCGCGGAACACTAGTGTGTCGTAGAAATTTTTTGAAACTTACACGAGCCGGATGCTGTGTGTGACTTCGGTCTTGGCTTACCCCAAAGATGTGCCGTGGCTGAAAAAATTTCGACAACACTCTACTACAGCATTTAACTTTCTAAGCATCAATCCACTGCACCACATACTAATTAAACCTCATTAAAATTCAGCAACCATTCCAAAATGACTGCATTCAAAATTCATTATAAGCACACCCGACCTTCCCTTAAATAAATCACATGATTCATTTCCACTTACATTTTGTTGCTGAAAAATCCACACAGCAGCGAGAACAAATTTTAGAACTAAATCTACAGCATTCACAATAATTAATGATTTTTGTCTCTGTCGATGCGAATATGTCAAATAGCTTCGTTCCAATGATGCAGCACTGCAAAAAAAGAAGAAGAACAATATTGTCAATCAATTAATTAATTGGACTAGAAGTTTTGATTGTAAAGCAATTTACCGAAATGAGTTTGTTAAGGACGGACATAAAATACCACGAACGACATTCCCTTTTTTAAAAGCTGCATATGTGTGGTTTGAGAATGGCATGAATGTCTGATAATGGTCGTGCTGTGATGAAGTGGGATACTGATTAATTGATTGATTTGATGACTCATGAGTGGTACGTTGCGGACTTAATATGTTACTTCGACTCGAATCCTCGATGTTAATGTCAATAAAACTGACATTATTTGTGCTATTTGATGCACTTTGGGATGTTTGGCACTTATTATCGGGAAGAATATTAATTGACAACGGCTGTTGTTGTTGTTGCATATTACAATATTGTTGTTGATTGTGTGGACGCAGTTGATCTATTTGTATATCCATCTCAGCGCCCTCGGGTGGCACACGTGGAGAATTCGGCATTATAATATCAGTACGTGCTGATGATGCATCATCAGCTTTTTCTATCCCGCTGTCTGATAAATCTTCCGAGTCTACAACCGCCATGGTTCTATTATTGCTTCTCAAATTACGAATCTCTCTTTTTATGTCACGGTATGAAATGTCTGACGAGCCAGCGTCAAGGTTTCTGTGAAGACGATGATAATAATGTTGTTTATGGTCGACGATTATTCGATCAGTCAATTTTAGATCCTTTGGCTTTGGTCTGTAATTAGAAATAGAAGACTTGATTAATATTAATAATTCACGATTAATCATCGTCATATGTATCAGATTATATTCATGCTTATTATATATATATATTTTTGCACGGATCGTTAGATGCAATGTCAACTTGTGGTCATGACATCCTTAACACTCGGATATTAATTTTAATTAAAGCTCATGTATATTGCGGGATGTTGTTGTGGATTAGAATTATTTTTTTATGGCTTAAATTATTTTGTTATGAGCAGATTATGGCTGTAGTTGTTTCTATTGTTTACGATTTCTCAAAATATCAATCAGATCCTTTCCCCCAAAGTTGAAAGGAGTCTCAAGTGAATGAGGATACAAGCCTAACCCACCCAATCTTCTTGCTGGTTAAAGCTCACCTATTTCTGATTTTTATTGCAAAACTTTAAATTCCAAACCCCCAAAAAAACTTTAATTTTAATGCTTATCAATTTCATCGACTCGATTATAGACAATTTCAAACATTTATAGTCACAGTATAGATCCCAAACTCACTCACGAGTAAAACACTAAATTTAATGGCTCTGATTTTCCCTCAAACTCTTTTGGGAACATTGCCAAGCTATCATTTATGTTCACCAGGTGTAAATTGATGATAGAAAAAAAATATATTTTTCTCAGAACAGATAATGGCGATGATTGAAGTTTTATATCGCAAATGATACTTGAGTGCAGCTTGTTTTGTACGTGGAAATGGATTGTTAAAGGTTTTGATGAATTTAATGGAAGGTAAGAATTGAAATAATCATGGTTGATGACTTTTTGGGTAATCTTAATGTGGATAGTCGTGGTCTGTGCTAATGAATGTTTAAGGATTGAAAGGACATACGACAAGAAGTGGAACTAGGTTTCTGAATGTATCAGGGAGAAGTTTTAAGTCTTCAGACGTTTTATTTTATGGAGACTTAGTTTGCTTATTGCCAAATCATGTGTTGTGACTTGACTAGAAGAAAATCGATGTATCAGAGTTTAGAAGAGCAAATCTGCCAATTCTAGAATTAAGGCTTTTGTGGCTGAGTGGTTGAGCAACCGACCTGATATTTGTAACTTCTAATGGAATGACGTTGGTTCGATTTCCATCCGAATCGAAATCTCAATTAATAAAAAGAAGATCACAGCTAAAATTACAAGGATTCGAACAATGCTTATGGCGTTAAATCGACAAATGTGCCATACATCGATTCAACACATGCCTGTAATATCAGCAACATGCTCACCAAATCCAGCTCATTATGATATAATGCTATCTTCCTGAATGCACCCCTAAATCACAGAACATAGCAACATAAACTGTTCAGTCATAAAATAAAGACATTTCAAACTAGTTTCTATTTTTATCTGTTGATATCTAACATTTTGCCAACTCTCCCACATCCATCTCCCTTATCTAAGGATATCAACTTTCATTTCATGAATGAGAAGGAAGTGACGTCCATTAAAATGAATAAAAATTTTTACGTCTTTTTTTTTATTTATTGACATTCTTTAATGATAAACTTGGAACTTGGAAACTTTTATGCATTTAAAGGGGAAAAACTTAATAATAAACTTGGTGACTTGAGCTCATGGAAGGAGACAGTAAAAGAAAGAACAAAAAAAAATCAATGATGATGAAATGTCGCTTTAAGTTGCCCTCTGTTGTCACATTTCCTGTATTCCTATCAAAAGCTATTCATGTTAAGGCCGATGGAAACAAATGGTAAGTTCATCGAACTAAATAAAAATGATACGAGTGGATATAGCCGACAAAAGAGGTTTCAAAAAATTACCTCATTGTGTGAAGATTACTTGAATTTTTCCATCTCATTTAATATTATACATTTTGCATGCATGTACCATTAAATGTATATCCATGTACCATACGTGTTTTACAAGCATACAAAGATACAAAAAGAAGTTCAACTAAGGAAAGAAGCGAAAGGATTTGTGTAAAGCCACATCATAATAAAGGCTCTTTAATTGAACGTATCAGAATGATTAAGTGTGTGGCATTTTTTTTACACACGATTTAATTCTTTAATGTTTTGGCTTTTTGTGGATCCTTAATGGTAAGAAAAATGTTGTTTTTTGGCGATAAGTTTGGATGTGAGAGTATTGGATTGTTGTTTTTGTTGTGTTGTGTCTTATAATTTATTTTAAATTATTAACGAGTCGGTTTGTCAAGTTTTGGAATGCTTTCTAGCTTGCTATTGTTGTAGTAAGCACAGGCTACTTAGAATGACTAGCTTAAGACAGCTTAGAATAACTAGCTTTAGATCTATATCTCTAGTAAATTAAATGCCCCTTTCTTTTTGACTACATCAATGCCATCATATCTATAGCCAAACCATAACGAACTTGAACTTAATACTTCAATTATTTCACAATCCACTGAACCAGAAAATTATTAATAATTACAATAATTCTTAACGATATTCAATAACTTTTCTGAATAGCAACGAAGCTTTCCAAAAAAATTTAAATTCAAGGTCACAAAAAAAGTTTATTTTGCGGCAAATATATTGATTCAAGAAATTTAAATTGCTGAATATTTAAATAAAAATCATTTTTCCTGCCAGTCTAGTCACATACGTCGGTCTCATTCGATGCCACTGAACTTTTATTTGTTTTTGGATTCACAATCGACATAAATCATCAATTTATTGATCGATAAGGAAAATAAAGTTGGGTGTGGATGCAACAGCCAAAAAGGATTTTATAGTTGAGACTGAAGCTGCAAACTTGAGTGAATTTCTGCTTTAATAAGCACTTTATAGCTTTAAATATCAAAATCTCACTTTATTCTATAATTGGACAGCATATGCTCAAATTGACAATTTGCCAGCACTTAAAGTCAGCTTTTATTAGGTGTGCCTACACAGACATATGATATCCTATTTCCTTGTCACAACAATATCATTTCATGTCTTGCATTTAATCTTCAACTTGATACTTGTGTCAATATTTATTGTTGATTTACACGTGAAGTCATCAAAAGTCTTCAAAAGGCCAAAAAGTGTAAACATTAGAAATTTGAAAAACTTTGGCATGTAAAGTCGTTATTGGAAGTTCAAGAAATAAAATCGGAATAATAATGATATTGCTATTGCCTTTTGTAAGCACGATAGCATCTGCCAAGAACATACACACATGATTTCATTTTCTGAGAACATTACGAAACCTTTTTAAAAATTCAAGGCATTCAGTTTCACATTATTATTTTGACACTTTGTTTAAACTGTCACAAAGTCTTAGAACCTCTCGCCCGCCAGTTACGTAATATATGAACTACCTCCTAGCTCAATATACCAATTTTGCAATGTTTAATTGACAATTAAATGAAGAAGCCTTAAAGCCAGCCAGGGGTTGCAAACGGTCCTTATTTCTGTGTCCAGAAATCAAAAGACACCTTATTTTCTCGTTAAAATTCAACATTTGAATTTCTGAACGCACGCCATAAAAATATACCTTTGTCACCCCTGGCCTTGAAGGAACCAAATAACATGTCCATCGACTTTATCTCTTTAAGCTTTAATTTCCATCCCACAAGAAACTTCCAGTGTCTGTTATCCTTCCTTATTTTAATTTTATTTCTTTAGAGAAATTTTCACAATAATATTTTTCAATTGTTAAGCAAAAAATTTGTCCGAAGAACAATGCAGCATATCCACACATGTATGCTAAAAATAACACAATATTCATAACAATGATGATGAGAAAGAGAAAAGGACAAAGAGAGGAAGTAAAAACTTGCTGTATTAAACGAGGTGGAGTGGAAAAAAGGCTCTCAAGAAATCGATATAAAGTGTCGCATGACATAATATTCTATGTCAGAATTACCTACATAATGATTCCCATTTTGCGGTATATTTCATGGAATGATGATATAATTGTTGTGAAAATGATGATTCGAAAGAGTGGAATTACGATTTCATTCATTTGAACTTTCATTTTCATTCTCAACATCGATTTGGCATTGTAGATAATCGTGGTAATATAAAAGTTGGCAACAAAAGGATTTAAGGTTGTTTTTTGAGGAGAAATTCAATGAATTAAAGCTAAGCGATGGATTTTATTACAAATTGGCTTAGATTAGCAACAATAGACACTAGGCATGAGATGGTTAAGGGTTAAGAACTGATCAAATAATGAATTATGATCAAAAATTCCAAAATATTTTGATCAGTTCCACACTATTGGGGATGGTATCAATTGACTCTGTTAGGGCAGATGACGGTAGACCAAGCAACTGATCTGTTTGGTTCAAAATCAATCATAAAACATGATTGATCATGATTTAATCAAGTGTATTGGTTGATTTTAACTTGATAGATCAGTTCTTCACCATTGGAAGGGTTCTATCAAAAAATTAAAAGCTAGCTCAATCAAGCGATTGAACAACAGGTTACTAATTCTAAGAACCCAAGCTCAAGAACACAAAATGATTCAAATTCAATTCAACATAATAAGTTTGTTGAATTTATAAGCTAATTTGACATGCACTTATAAGTAATTCGATTCAAATCCACGAACAATCTAAAACTAAGATCCAAGAAGATTGAACCTTTGAGAATCATCAACATCCCACAATGAACTCAACACAGAATAATCGATTCCCAATGAAAATAAAAGCTCAAAGACTTTACAAATCAATTTACAGAAAATGAATAATATTACAGAATTAAATAGTTTACGAGTCAAGCATGCAAATTTAAATTCAACCATGAGCATCTCCATATTAAAATGAAAGATGATCTTTAACGCAAACTTTTTTCGCTCAGCATTGTTATTCAGTGCGAAAAGGAAAAATCCATTCAGCAAACAAAAAAAAAACAGCTTTAAAAAATTCATTATTGTGGATAGCAATGACCTATGTGAAAATGCGACAGTCAGGGGGAAAACAACTTGGTGAGGAAAACAAAAAAATTGAAATTTTTGCTCCAATATCCAAATTTTTCAGTAATTATAGGTTTGGTTTCCTTAAAATTTTAA